TCCTAAAGAAGACTATGAATGTCTGGCAAGAGCTTGCAACCAACCGCTCTAACGCCTGGACCTTTCTCTGCAGCACAGTGATGCAGGCTGGAGTCACGTGGGTCGCACTTTGCAGCTGGAGGGTAGGAGTCACGAGGGCTGTACATCACAGAGGGCTGGTGGGAGTCACGTGGGCTATACGTCTTAGAGGGATGGCGGGAGTCGCGTGGCCTGTACGTCACAGAGGGATGGCAGGAGTCGCGTGGGCTGTACGTCACAGAGGGATGGCGGGAATTGCGTGGGCTGTACGTCACAGAGGACTGGCGGGAGTTGCGTGGGCTGTACGTCACAGAGGAATGGCGGGAGTTACGTGGGCTGTACGTCACAGAGGAATGGCGGGAGTTACGTGGACTGTTGGTAGCTGAGAAAGCTCTGCTGTGGTAGAGCACCGCGTTGCCCAGTAGCGGCTCTCTCAGCTGCCCTCTGGGAAACAGAAGGATGGAGCGAAGTCATAAGACCCACAGGCCTTCTGACTTCCACAGCGGGCGTGTCCAGCCCCTCTCCACAGGCTCGCCACCGCAGAGCGTCCGTGTGAGCCAGGAGAGCACGGTGTCATCCTCTTGGGCTCGTCGTGGCCACGACCGAAGCAGGGCCGACTGGTCCCGGAGAAGGAGTGACGACCAGGACAGCGAGGGCATCGGGCACCGCCTGCTGAATGTGAGCAGGGGCCGGAGGGATCCACCGGGAAGGGTGGGGGCTGGGGGCTCCAGTCGTGGGGACCAGGTCGCCTTCCCGTGGAAGACGATCACTGAAGAGCAGGCGTTTACTTGGGGCTCTAGGCAGTCAGCTCCCGAAGCTCATTTTATTTTATTCTATATTTTATTTTATTTTGGCAGAACCAAGGATTGAACTCAGACCGTTGCGCTTGCCAGGGAAGCGCTTATTCCACTGAGCCATCTCCCTGGCCCGCTCATTTTATTAACTGCTAAATGAAATCAGTAGTTCCTACCTACCTTACTCAAGCAGAACAGAAGCGAGGATGATACTATACGTGCAAGCTTAGTGCAGCGCGGAGGCAAAGGATCTGTGTATGCTGGCTACTTTCTTCATGGTCGTTATTGAGATTTCTTTTATGTGGTAAAGGGCTAAACGCCAGAAACTTTAGTTTTCTTTGTTTTCATTTCGAGGTTCTTATATCATGAACCGATAGCAGCAGCTCTCCGTGATAGCTGTAAAGTGGAAACTCTTTGAGTTTCCAGTGGATTTTTTTTTCAAAGTTTTATTGATAAACAGATAGCAATGAGACAGTTTCAAATCAAATCGGAAGTACAGTTTCAACAAATAATACACTGCATATATTCTTCTTAGTGGTTAATTGCTGTACAAGATGCGGACTTGTGATCCTATTTACAAACACCATTAGAACAAATCATTCTATTCATTAAGAGAATGCAACTATATATCTATCCTAACCACTTTGAATACACAGATACAAAATGGACATTCATCTGTATACCCTATTTTTTTTAAGTTCCGTTATTGAATATTATAGGTGTGTAAACTCAGCAAAATATTCTAAAAGAGTCCAGTAGCCCATAATAGCATTGGGTCTTCTGTTTAACTGGCAATGTCAGAAATTATTGACCTGAGTCCCCCACAGCTCAACTTAACAGCATGGCTTTATTTCCTATCTTTCGTCTTCATACTTTTCTACTGGATGGTTAAGACCAAGGTAAAGCAGGACCTATGCAACAAGAGTTGTAGCTTTTTGGTCTCCAGTAGATTTTTAGTGGTACCACTGCGTGGAGATGTAAATGACGAGGAATAAAATTGGAGTTCACCCTTGGAAGGCCTTAGGGATTACTTTTAGGACATCTTACACCTTTTTCATTGGGTTTTAAATTATTTAGAACTAATACAATAAAAGTGGTTATTAAGAAACAGTTGAAGTGCTAAAAGATGGAGGCAAAAGAGTTACATTGCTTTAAGAGATTCTCTCCAGGAATTTATTTATTTATTTGTTAATTTTTGTATTTTAGGGATGGGTCTACAGGGTGTTCAGGGTCTCAGTACTAGATCAGACTCATAATGATCCACCTGTTTACAGCCTCCCAAGAGCTGGGATTACAGGCATGCACCACCATGCCCAGTCTCAATTACCATCTCAGTGCGCCCTGGGGGTGGGGCCAGCATGGCAGGGCAGGGGATCTAATCCCCAGCCCCTGCACCAAGCAGGTGCTTTAATCTGCTGAGCTGTTTGGCCACCCCTGCAACTCCAGGAACTTAGAAAACTCTTGCAGCATGGATACAAGCTGAGAGCATATTAGGACATAGGTGTAGGATAGTATTAGAAAACATTACATGTAAGTCATGTAACTCAGTTGTGTCCCAAATTTTCTGATCAAGGAGATTATGGGGCCAAAGAGGAAAGTGATCGATGATGTAGAGTGTGCCTAAGGAGAGTCACATAGAGAGAAAACATTCTCTCAGGCTTTCACAGGGAGCAAATTGGTCAAGCAATGGCCGTGACTCATCCACATGGCTGACACTGACAAAGGATCTACAGTCTGAGGTACAGGGTCTCAGGATAAATCCTGAGGGGATTTGACTGACCTGATCAGATATAGAAGTTACATTTCTTGTTATATAGGTCTTGCTTTATCTTGGTCTTAACCATCCAGCAGAAAAGTATAAAAACGAAGTATAAAAAGTAAATCCATGTTAATATGTTGAGTGTAAAAGACTCAAGTCAACAACTTCCAACATTGCCAGTCTTATGGAAAACCCACTACGATTATGTTTCATTTGTTTTGCATCTATAGCACCAGTTACTTTGTTGTGTTTTTTTGTTTGTTTGTTTTTGTTTTTTTGCAGAACTGGGGATTGAACTCAGGCCCTTGCACTTGCCAGGGAAGCGCTTATTCCACTGAGCCATCTCCCCCCCCCCCCACTACTATTATGGACTACTGGACTATATTGGAATATTTTGCTGAACTCACGCACTTACAATATTTAAATGACAATGGAATACTCTTCTCTGACAAACCAAAAAAGGGGAATACAAATGAAGGACCATTTTGTATCTGTATATTCAGAATAATTAGAATAGATGTACAGCTGCATTCTCTTAATTCATTGAGTAGAGAGATTTATTCTAGTAGTGTTTGTGGACATGATATCATGTCTGCATCTTGTACAATGAGCAACCACTAAGACAGTAATATGCAGTGTATTAATTATTATTTTTTAAATTATTGAAACTGCTAGTAATCAGTTTTGAAACTGTCTCATTGCTATTTGTTTCTCATTAAAATTATTTTTTAAAAAAGAAAGCATTACAAAGTGTCTTTTTTTGTTGGAGGGAGCTTTGATTTATGACAGTGTAATTATAGGTTTTCAGGTGGAAATCCATGGAACCCCTACCCCGCACTGTATAGCATCCGTCCTACAGAGCAGCCTTGTGGTGAGAGGCAGAATATAACAATTTCAGAATGGCTATGCGAGGAACGTTTCTTAAACAAAGGGGAAAAGTTAGCCATGGAAGGTGTTTGTTATGCAGCATGTTAAGTAATTTGGACTTGATACTACAGAATGGTGGCTTTCAATATTTTTTGAGTATTAGATACCATTTTAATATAAGAAAATGGCATTTCCCCATATAAAAATGTAACTGGATCATTATTATTATTATTATTATTATTATTATTTTGCGGAACCAGGGATTGAACTCAGGCCCTTGTGCTTGCCAGGTAAGCGCTTACTCTACTGAGCCATTTCCCTGGCCCCTGTATCTTTATTATTCATTGATTGGAAATCACAAAAGCTGCCAGGTCAGCACAGTGCTGTTAAAGGAATTTCCTCCACACCAGTGTATTTTAGCAAGATCACCTGTATTCGGGTCCTTTGGGACATTGGCTACAGTGTGGAGTTCTGAGCATCCCCTGTAGACCTCAGATGGTAAAAAGAAGTCATTTATCTTGAGCCTGTGAAGAAAAAGACTAGAAAACTTTTTGAGTTAGTAAGTGCATGGAACTGTAACTTGCATAGTGGATAAGGAATTCTTGCCAATGAGATCAATTACCTTTTTTCCCATGTAGAAAAGTTGGGTTGGAGGGAAGGGGAAAACAAAATACTCCTTTCTGGTCCATGATTTTTATCATAATGAAGCTGTAATTGTTTACTTGTCTATGGACAGCAGACTCAATCTCTCCACGGATCTCACACTTGAAGGTAGTACCAGCCTGGTCCCAGGCATGTATTAGTGCCAGCATGTGTCTAAATGTTAAGTAATGTAAGGATCCAGCCAACAGCACATGCTTTAAATTTTTTAAAAATCCTTATTTATTTATTTGGTACAAGGTCTCACTATGCAGCTCCAACTCATAGTGATCCTCCTGTCTCAGCCTCCCCTCTGCTGGGATTATAGGCACAAGCCACCACTCCCAGTGTCAGTCGCTGTCTCATTGTGCCCCAGGGGCAGGGTTGGCATGGCTTGTGGTGCTGGAGATTGAATCTCCTTAAATATTTTTTTAAAAAATTATAAAAGAAATGCAACAAAGGCCATGTATGACAGACTCATAGCAAGTATACTGAATGGGAAAAAGCTGAGTTTTCCCTCTAAGATCTGGAACAAGGCAAAGATGACCATCTTGCTGTTTCTATTAACATAGGATTGGAAGTCCCTAGTGAGTGCAGTTAGGTAAGAAAAAAGAATGAAAATCATCCCAAATGGAAAGGAGGAAGTCAGGTGGCCTCCGTTTGCAAATGGCATGGTAATTATATATATAGAAAACCCCAGCGAGTCCACCAAATAACTATTAGAACTAATGAAAGCGTTCAGTAAAATTGAAGGACACAAGATCAACTTACGAAAATCAGTGGGATTTCTATACACTATGAGTGAACTATCAGAGAAGTTGAGAAAACACTTCCACTTATAATAGCAGTAAAAATAAAATACCTAGAAATCAATTTAATCCAGGCAAAATATCTCTAGACTGAAAGCTACCAAATGTTAATGGAAATTGGAAAGGGTACAAATAAATGAAATTCAATCATATTTATGGACTAGAAAATTGAATACATTGAAAGTCTCCACACTACTTAAAGCTATTTACAGATTTTATTATTTATTATTTATTATTTTTGGCCGGCCCAGTGCACACTGGGGGTGGGGCTGGCATGGCATTCAGTGCTGGGGTTTGGACCGCTGCCCCTGCACTTGCCTAAGCATGCCTAAGGTGTTTTAGACTGCTGAGCTATCTCCCTGGCCCCTACAGATTTTATTTTGAAAAAGTTTATAACCAGAATTAGAGAATAAGAACAGTTAATATGCCATGTATTATAGTCTTTCTTAAAAAATGTATGTAGTATGGGATCTGCAGGGTCTCACTACACGGATCAGACGTAGTGATCCTCCAGTTTTTCAGCCTCCCAAGCTCTAGGATTACAGGTGCACCACCATGCCCAGTGTCATTTGCCATCTTAGCACACCCTGGGGGTGAGGCAGCATGGCAGGCTGAGTATTGAACTCCTACCCCCTGCATCTGCCTAAGCAGCTGCTTTAATCCACTGAGCTATCTAGCCCTATAATCTTAAAAGAATGATCAAAATATTTCTCAAGAGTGTAAGCCATAGACAGAAAGACTGTCTCTTACAAAGAAGAGACAGATAATAGCCCCCAATGTTGTAATAGCTGTAAAAATAAAATACCTAGGAGTTAATTTAATCCTGGCAAAATATCTCTAGACTGAAAGCTACCAAATGTTAATGGAAATTGGAAAGGGTGCAAATAAATGAAACTCAATCTCATATTTATGGACGAGAAAATTTAATACATTGAAAGTCTCCACACTACCTAAAG